GGCAACGTGTGTTACTCAAAATTAAAGGGTCCTCTGCCATTGAAAGCTAGGTGGATGTAAGTAAGAGCTAAAAGAAAGAATCACTGAAGGCTGTAAGTAAAGTAAGGATTAGTTGGCTTGGACCTGTTACAAGGTCCATGCGTAGAGTTTAGGTGTGGCTATGCTTATAAGCAGGTTTCCTCACTGACTGGCTTGTATCCTGACGATGATGGCAGATGTTAGCCATCGAAAGCTTGATTTTATTTATTAAAACCTTGGTGTTTTACTTCCTGGTGATCGCTTTCCTTTTTTACTGAAATGTATGTACCCAGGAATCGCTATTCTTCAATTTTTAATGTAATTTTTAATATATATATATATATATATATATATATATATATATATATATATATATATATATATATATATATATATATGAAATAAAAAAAGATTATGTGATAATGGCAGGTGATTATAATACGGTTATGGATATAGGAATTGATCAATCTAATCCATCAAAAGCGGAAATAAAGTATAATAATACAGATTTAAGAAAATTTATTAATAGAAATAGATTAAAAGATGTTTGGAGAGAATTACATGGCAATCAAAAGAGTTATACATATTTTTCTAGTAGACATAATTTTTTTTCAAGAATAGATTATATATTTGTAACATCGGAAATATCTAAAAACAAAAGCAGAGATAAAAATAATTAAAATATCAGATCATGCAATGGTAACTATGGAAATGTAAATAGATTGTGATTATAAACAGGCAAGTAGATGGAGAATGGATTCGAGGATTTTTAAAAATAAAGAGATTTTAGAGAAAATGGAAAGAGAATTAAAAGACAATTAAAAGAGAATTAAAGGACTATAAATGAAGAAGGGGGTTAGTAATATAGGTGTAATATGGGATACAATGAAAGCAGTGGTAAGAGGTTTAGGGATAAAATATTCTTATAACATAAAAAAACAAAAAGAGAAATATATAAAAAGGTTGGAGGAGGAAATTAAAGAACTAGAGAGTAAATATATAGAAAGTAGAGAGAATAGGATTATGTTAGAATTACCAGTTAAAAGAAAAGAGTTGCAAAATATTGAGTTAGAACAGGTTCAAAGAAATCTAATTTTATGAAAATAGTAATAAAATAGTAATAATAGTAATAGTAATAAAAATAAAAATTCTAGAATGTTGGCTAGAGCCACACAAGTTAAAAAGGCAAAAAGGCTGATTGGAGTAATAAAGAACAAAAAGGGAGAAAGATGTAACATGATGAGAGAAAAATTGTTGATATTTCAGAAGTTTTTTGAAAAGTTTTATAAGGGAAAGGAAATAAATCTGAATGAAAGTCAGGCATATATAGAAAAGAATTTAAACTGTAAAATTCGAGAATGTGATAAAGAAATAATGGAATCACAAATAGAAGAGGAGGAGATACTGGAAGTTATTAATAAATTGAAAATAGGTAAAGCACCAGGGTTAGATGGACTAGGTGCAGAATATTATAAAAATTTTAAAGGATTATTGGTGCCAAAGATGAGGTTAATGTTTAATAAAATAATGGAAGGGGAAATTATTTCAAGTTCCTGGAAGCAATCTCTGATAGTATTGATAGCAAAACCTAATAAAGATCTTACAAATCCAGGATCATATAGACCAATATCCCTTATTAATCAGGATGCTAAGATTTTTACAGCAATATTGACAAATAGATTGAATACAATTATAGAGAATTATATTAAAAATGACCAGTGTGGATTTATAAGAGGCTGAGAAATGTCAGATGTAGTAAGAAGGGTATTAAATTTAGGCTATTACATAAAGAATCAAAAATTAAAAGCTGGTTTATTAGCATTAGATGTTTTTAAGGCCTTTGATTGTGCGGAATGGCCTACATTGAAAATATTAATAGAGAAATTAGGTTTTGGAAAATTTTTTAGAAAGGTGATAAATCAAATATACTCAGAGAATAAGGCAAGAATAGTCATAAATGATGGTGTTACAGAGACAATAACCTTAAGCTGGGAAACGAGACAGGATTGTCCTTTAACCCCAGTTTTGTTTGTATTATTGATGGAGGTTTTGGCAAATGCAATTGGGAAAGATTCATTGATTGAAGGAATTGGCGTATGTAAGAAAACGAAAATAAATTTATTTGCAGATAATACATTACTAACATTTCAAAATCCCAGAGCTACTATAGAGAGGGTATATTCACATTTGAATGAATTTGGGAAATATAGTAGATTGCAAATAAATTGGGAAAAATCAGAAATGGTGTTATATAACTATAGTAAAGAAGAAATGGATGCATTAAAAGAAAAATATAAATTAAAAATAGTAGATAGTATCAAATATTTAGGTATTGACATCCCCAAAAATATTCAAGAATTAAAGAAGATAAATTATTAGAAGTTAAAGAAAGATATAAAAGATAAAATGGATAAATATGGAAAAGTAAAATTATCATGGTTTGGAAGAATTGCAGCAATAAAAATGAAAGTTTTACCAAAAATTAACTTTTTGTTTTGGATGATCCCAATTAAGTTTTCGGATCAAGAATTAAAGGAAATACAGAGATTGCTGGAGGTGTATTGTAATGGAGGCAAGAGAGCAAGAATAAGTAAAGCTTTATGGTATGAACCATTAAAAAAGGGTGGGCTGGATCTTCTAAATGTCAGAAATTATTGGATAGCTAATTAATTAAGGGTGGTCCCAGATATTATAGCAGATAGAGATTTATTATGGAGCGATATAGAATTGAAGGAATTAAGGGAAATAGGCGATCCTGTAGAAACATATTGGTTTAAAAAAATATTTAAAAAATTGTTAAGATAATTCAAAATCCCTTTTTTAAAAACCTGATAGAATTATGGGATAAATGGAGATATCGGTTAATGCCAGGAATTTCTCCTTTAATACTGGTAGTAGAAATGGAAAAATTCCCTAAGATTGAACTGAAAGATTGGATTAGTAAATTAAAAAAAAAATCAGATATATAAATGGGACTGGAAGAACAAGATAAAGAATATAATAGAATTAAAGAATGTTTTATCAAATACTAAGTTAAATTGGTTGAATTTAATACAATTAGAGAAATGGATAAAAATGGAAGAAAAATTCGAGGAGAAAGATAGACAGTTAACAAAATTTGAAATGATTATAAAAGAAAGTGAGGAAAATGAAGAATATATAGGTAAAGGAAGAATTGGGAAAATATACAGAATATTAACTGAACTAGAAGATCAGGCAAAAGGTTTAAAATTAATCTGGGAAACAGATTTAGGAGAAATAAACGATAAAGATTGGAAAAATATTTGGAACAGAAGAGTATATAAGAATATTTCAGTTAGAGTTAAGGAAAATGGATATAAAGTGATATGGAGGTGGTTCCTAACACCACACAAATTATATCAAATAGATGTTAAATATATAAATATTTGCTGGTGATGCGAGAAAGAGAGTGGAACATATAAACATGTGGTGGGATTGTGATAGTGCATAAAAGAAATGGGACATAGTGTTTAGGGAAATTAGATAACTTTTGAAGGTAAATGTAGATATGTCACCGAGGATCGCATTACTGTTACTGGTGGAAAAACAAGATATAAATGAAGCAAAAAAGGAATTGATTGTAAATTTGATAATGGCAGCTAAATTAGTGATGGTTAAATATTGGAGACAGAATTGGGATATTCAAAGAAATGAGTGGTATAATGAGATATGGAATATGGCAATAAATAATAAATTAATAGAAATTAAATTTAAAAAGGGATGATTAAAGTAACTAATTATAATGAAATATGGGATGATTTTATAAAAACAGTCTTAGTGGAAGGCAAAGGGGATAAATCTGCTCAAGAATACATGCTGTTTTGGAGGGGATAAAGGCACAATTGAAATATATTGTATATTGTTAGTTGTTATATGAGAAGAAATATAGGTAATAAACATTGTCTCCAGGGATGTGGGTGCACTGTAGTATTTGTATTTTTATACTGTTTTTATATAGATGTATATGTTATGTTTGTATTATTTGTATTTGAATAAAATAAAATTTTAAAAAAAGAAGTTAAAAGTTAAATGCTATAACCTTGAAGAAATTCAAATTTGGATACAAGACAAAACTATTATATGTAATGTAATGTGATGTAATTCAATGCAACACAGTGCAATGCAATACAACACAACACAACACAATACATACAATGCAATAATATTTTCCAGAATTAGTGGGCCTTAGAACATTGATACCAAATGTGAAAGAATGATCCAACCTAGTTTTTCAGTTTTAACAAATTTTAGAAAATGAATTATCTATTTTGGCAATCGTTACTAGAGTAATACACCAAGTAAAATATCTTGTACTAGTTTTCTCTGAATGTAAATGTAAATCTGGTGTTTTTTCTTTCATTGATATTCTCATTATTGCATTACTGCTTTTCAGTTGTTCTGTTCAAATATTTATTTTGACTTATCTATAAGTTGGTTAAATATGATTCATTAAGTGAGTAAGTTAAAAACTGCTACTCCTTTGATCATGCAGTTCTTAACTTACTAACCTTTTGGGAAGCACCCAGCCTGGCACAGAGGAGGGATCAAGTCTAGAGTTAGCTTGTGGTCACTGAACAACTGCAAAAGGGCTAGGATTGACATCCCCTCCCCCTTTAGTTCCTTAGAGCCTTATCTAGGAGTCGGCTGTTCCCCAGGAGTTGGAAGTCAGACTGGGGAAATTTCAGAATTATAGGCAAAACATAAAAAAGTAGTTAGATCAAATTCTGCATGTGAGGGACTGGTGGTTTGCTCCTGACATCACTTGATGAATCATATTTAACCAACATAGATAAGTCAAAATAAATATTTGAATTTTGTGTGGTAGGTTTTTTTGAATTCTGTTTGATTTCATCTTTCAACTTATAAATGATCTTGGGCATGTAAGGTAAATATCTGTTATCTAGCTACACTAATAGTATCTTTCAAAGAAACACAATGATTAAATTATTGTCTATTTGCAGATTTGGGATTCCTATTTTTACCTTGCTGTCATATTTATAAATCAGTTGTGTCTACAGTTAGAAATGTTCACACTTTCTAAGAAGAAAAAAGTACTAGAAAAGTAAGTATAATTGTTGGCTTTTTAAAAAAAATAGAGAAAATCTTTGTAGTATTTATCTTTTCTGTGCAAAATTTTATTAAGATTGAAAGTTGTCAAACTATGTGATATTTGCTGTTGATTATTACTGAGAGACAGAATGTTGTTTTTCAAGGCAGAATTGTTTGAAGTACGTTTGATTTCTTAAGTATGTTTTAATGGGCTGTACCTGACAACATGCACAGTGCTCTTGAATAAATCTTATCTAGTTTACAGTATGTTGATTATATGCCATAATCATACCAATGATTATAGCTCACTGAAATCAATGAAGATAACTTGTAGGAAAATATCAGTTCAAACCCTAAGAAGAATGCACTTGTTAGAAATGATGATGTATGTAATTAAATCTTTGTTTTGTTTGCATCAATGATTCCCACAGTTATAGACAAAAGATGTTTATAACTGATACCATTTTGACTCTTTACATATAACAAGCAACATCAAACCATCTGTAATAATATCGGCAGCTGTCTCCCACAAATGCTTGTCTATTACTGGATGCAGGCACAGTGTTTGAATAGTTTCAGAAATGTTCTTTCTATGATGTGTTGTGGTTTTCTAGCTGCTTTTCATATCCTGTTTTAATAAGTATTTTATGAAAACTTCTGTTGGATTTTTTTCTCTTTAATAACTGCTGCAAACATACAAAAAGTATGTTTCATGATAGAGTGAGATTATTAATTATCTAATCTGATTTTTTAAAAATCTAACAGATATGGTGATATGCGGGTGACAATGGGATGTGAAATCTTCAGCATGTGGCAAAATATAGGTAAGATTAATTATGTGGCTTAAGTTTTAAATTTGCATAAATGTTTTTTATAACAAGTTTTATTAATTTTTCAATTTTACATCCAAATATTTAGGAAGCAGCATGGTGATTGGGTAATCAATAGTCCAGTAATGAAATCTTTCGTACATGGCTTCCGGTTCACGGTGCCTCTAGCTGTACGAAGAGACTTGTCTCCTCGTCGGCTAGCTTCCCTCTACCAGTAGACCTTTATGTGGTTCGAAAGTCACCCTGGAGGGTGTGACTTCTGTTGAGGAGGCTTTGCTCGTCTGCTGAGGAGCGGCGGCTCCTCCAGCTGTCTGAGCTATCTCTGAGGGCCGACGGAGAAGAAGATCAGCCAGTAAAATGGCTGATCACCCTGCCACTTCAAACTGCAAGTCAAAGAACATCTAAGCTGTAAGAAACCCCATGGTGAATCCGGGTGAGACTTTTCCTTGCTACTCTCTCTACTCTATCTTGTTTTTTGTGCCTGTAAGAGCCTTGTTGGAATTATTTCCATGGCTTGAAAAAGCAGCTTCTGCATGTTTGGGAAGAAAGGCGTTGTATAAACATAGAACAAAATTTTAAAGACTATATTTTATTTCCATATTTTGGGGGTACAGAATTTTTTTTTTCTCTAAGAACTACTATTATCTTATGCTGGAAGATTATTTCTTTTTTCACATTATACTTTAAAAGACAGAAAAAAGGAAATGGTGTCTGGAAAAGATCTTTTTTTAACCTACTGAGGACATCTAGTGGTGAAAACTTAATACTGTAACTTCTGGTTACTCTTTGAAGATGGAATAGATCTGACCTTCAAATTATTTTTGAAGAGAAAAGATAAACTATGCAGCTGTGGGAATTGTGGAGGTGGACACTGCCTAACTTTTATTAAATATAGCCTCTACAAAAAAGAAAAAAGAGACTCTTTTTAATTACTATCAAAATGGAGGAACCTCAGTTACAATTAAACTGTAAATTTATATTGGAAAAGATTTATGAGGCTACTGCAGAAATATGTGCTACAATGAAAGAGTTTACTACAGAATTAAGATCCAGAAATCTCACTTCAAACATTCAAACTGATGTCCAGACTACATCTGACTATTCTATAAATCAAAACATACTAGAAGAGGAATCAACAGAGATAAAAGAGGAACTTATTCTATCTTGCAAACTTTCCATCTGTAACTTTTGAGGAACAGAAGAAGCAAAGACTGAGATTTGAAACTACAAAGCAATGATGCTTAGGATGAGAGAAATAGATGCCTAATCCAGAGGATGGGACTCCTATCCTTTCAAAGGCCACTGCAAGCAACAAAAATAGATCTACTGACTGAAAGGGAAGCTTGGTTATGGAAACCTGCCTGGCACAGAAAAAAAGCCAGAATTAGACTGAAAAGAGAAATTTAAAATTGTGTAATTGATTAAAAGGCAATGTTGGATTTATGGACTGTTTTAAGGATTAAGATTTAGAGTTAGAAGTAAGAAAAAAAATATAGGAGAGTGATTATTAGAATAGATATTTTAAATAGATTAAGAATGTACCTTTTGGAATAATAGGTTTATTTTGATGAAAATTATTATGCATTGGAGTTGAAAAAATGTTGGCTTTTTAGATTTGGATGATTTCAATAATTAACTGAGTGTCTTAAATTAGTAAGATGACCTTTCTGTATGATAACATAGATGTGATAAGGCATGATAATCAACTGCATGAAATTTGAATTTTGTTTAATGAATTGAAATGATTTAAGGTTTAACATTATTTTGTTATCTTAAAGAGATTGATCAGTTGTGGGATTATATATGTATAGGGTAGTTTAATATTTTATTTTAATTAGGATATCTATTGTGTAGTGGAAGAAGAAATAAATGAGATTGGTGATAAAATGAGAGATGTGAGAGATTAAGAATTAGAATATATCTGGAAGGGATACCTGAATTGATAACTTGTTGATTTAAAGTTAAATTTGATTATGGTAATTGTAAACTGACAAAGTTTTAAAACAGGTTTAGCAGTAATAGAAATTTAAATTAGAAATGGAATATTTTAAACGTATTATGCTATTTGAGGGAAATAGAAGAGGACAGTGAATGTATAGAGTCGAGTTGTTTATATATGTTTTCACTTTTGAATGTTTGATTACCCAAATACCACGGTGTGTCCAGAGTATTTTTTCTTAAGAATTAAAAAAACAATAAAATGTGTTTAAAAAAAATATTTCATAGATATCTCAGGTTGCATCATTAAAAGGTCCTCCCTATTTCCCTTAATTATTATATCACATTCAAATTAATACATTTCTAATTATAGCTCAATCAATCAATACATTTGTCAATTTAATGTTACTTATATATTTCCAAGTCCTGTTTTTAAGTTTTACCTAATTTCAATTACTGTGTTCCAATTTAGCCTTTAATATCCGTAATATTTAGACTTCGAGTAACCCAAATTTTCCTAATTTCATTACAAAATATTTATCGTATCTAAAATTCACATATTATTCAGTTAATTACATTCTTATTTTATGTCATAAGTATATTCTATTTCTCATCCTAGTACCTCATTGTTTACTAATAAAATATCTTTCATTGTCACAAACCAACTTCCATATTACAATTCAAAACTATAATCTAATGGCTAATTTTCATTTCCCTTATAAATCTAAATATTAAATCAATTAATATCTTTAAAAATCTCCTTAGCCCATTAAGTAAGACTTTAAGCTCTTCCATTATCAATCAATCAACAAAAAAAGGAAGAGAAAGAAAATCCCATTTTTAAATCTAACTCTAGCTTTCTTTTTGTGCCAAGCAGGTTTCCATACCAGTGCCTTTAAATCCTCAGATGGATCTCCCTTCATTCCTACACATGTTATTTGAATCAAGGGAGAGCATCCAATTATCAATTTTTCAAAAGAACTGGCCCCTTTGTAATCATTAGATTGTTGCCCTAATAGTTCAAATCTCCATGTTTGATTTAAAATATTTGTCATCAGTTCAATCTGGTCTTCTTCTTCTTCCAGTTATATCTGGCTAAAATAAAAGGTCACGTCCAGTGTTGTAGATGTTGTTTGATTGTCTAGATTGCCTAAGTTCTCAATATGTTGTGTTTGTTGATCTTTAGCATCCTCCATCTCAGTGTTGCTTTCTTCAATTTCTGTTGCTTTTTGAGTTGCAGTTTCTTTAGTTGAAATCAAGGTTTGACTGTCAAAGTTCTCAGTAAATTGTACTTGTTGTTGTGTAGAATCCTCTTTGATATTAATTTGTTCCTCTTCTGTTGTTTTTTGGATTGTAAGTTCATCAGTTGGAATCTGGGCTTCAATTTGTAATTTTAAGGTGACATCTTTGTCTTTCATTCTGGAATTCATTAGCTCAATGACTTCAAGGATTTTTTCAAGTATGAGTTTGTAGTTAAGTTTTGGGTAAAATTCCTCCATTTCTATGGTGATTAGAGATAGTCCTTTAGTGGAGGCTATGTTTAATAAAAGTCAGCAAATGTCCACCTCCACTATTCCTAGAAGTTGTTTTCACCACCCAGCTGTTTCAAATTGTTATCTTTTTTATTAAAAGTTTTACAAATTTAATACATTATAACCCAAATCCCTCCCACCCTTTCCCCCCTCCCCCACTTCCCAGAGCTGATTACAGGGTAAAAAATAAACAAACATAATCTAACTAACATAACCCGACTATACTATCAATCAAATCCATAACACATTTTAACTCCTTTTCAAAACAAGTATTAACAAATTAAAAACAAAAATAATAATATAATTAAACCATAATACTAAAAATAATATAAATTCAACCATATTGAACTATTAAAAATAATCTAAAATCTACTCATAAGCAAGATAATACTTTTCAGTCTCATATTTCTTTTGAATATAATCAATCCATCTCCTCCAAACCGAAATATATTTTTCTTGTGAATGGTCCTTCAAATAGGCGGAGATTTTCGCCATTTCTGCTAAATTAGACACCTTAACTATCCATTCTTCCATAGTAGGCAAAGAGTTTTTCTTCCAATATTGCCCCACAAGTAATCTTGCAGCTGTTATAACATTCAGCATCAAATCAATTTCTTTGACATCAAAATGTACAATAATAACCAGCAAAAATAATTGCGGAGTAAACTTTATCTTTCTCTTAAAAATCTTTTGAATATTCCACCAAATCTTAATCCAAAAAGCTTTTATATCTCTACAAGTCCACCAAATATGAAAATAGGTTGCGTCTAAGCTTCCACATCTCCAACATTTGGGCTGTAAATTAGGATACATGCGGGACAACTTTTGGGGATCCAAATGCCATCTATAAAACATTTTATAAAAATTTTCTCTTAAATTTTGCACTTGAGTAAATTTTACATTTCTAACCCAAATTGTCTCCCATGTATCCAATAAAATTGGCTCTTGAATATTTTGAGCCCATTTAACCATACAATCTTTAACTAACTCCGTTTCAGAATCCAATTCTATTAAAACATTATAAATTCTCTTTATATGAGCTTGAGTTTGGTCTTTAATCTGTTTTACCAAATTCACATCCTTTAAAGTAATATCAACCTTTTGATCTATCCTCCACCTCACTAACAATTGATTATACTGAAACCAAGAGTATACAATATTTTCTTGCTTCAACTCAGCTAAAGATTTTAATTGCCAATCCTTCCCTTCCAAACTAAGTAATTCCTTATAAGAAATCCTATCCAAATTCACTCCTCTAGATAACCCCTCTACAACGTGTCCGGGAATCCCCCAAATTGGAATTTTATAATTTAACCTATAATAATATTTCTTCCAGACATGTAATAAAGCATTTCTTAAAATATGAGATTTAAAAACCTGATCCACCTTTTTGTCATAAATTAAATATGCGTGGCATCCATATAATAAATCCCATCCCTCAAGAAAAAGAATATTTTTATTTGTTAAGTTAAGCCAGTCACTAATCAGTGTTAAAGCCACCGCATCATAATACAATTTTAGATT